CTTTATTCAGTAAAGACCATGATATGCACAGCGCACCAGATCCTTTGGATTTGACTACTAACGCGTTTTGACTCTCATCCAATGGTCCACATCTTTTTCTTTTATTTTCTTTTTTTGATATTTATATTTTAATTGTTTTAAATTTCAAAAAATCATAGAAAATTCATTTTTAGTCCAAAAAATCTGAAAAAATTATGATAAATATTTTTGATTATTCTCTTTCTGATTTTTATTTTTTCACAATTTATTTTTGTGTTTTGGTATTTTTTATGAAATTTACACTTATTTGATTTGTTTAAAATATTTAAAAATACTTTTGCATATTTTTTTAATTCTGAAAAAATTATGAAATGATCCAATGACATTGTGACAAATATTGGTGACTTTATTTTATTTTTGTTTCTGACTTTACTATTTTTCACCACTTTTGTCTATTTTACCCATTTATTTTAATTTTTAAAAATAGTTTCTCACTTTTAAAAATTTCCAAAAATTTTATAAAAATATTTGGACCCGTTTCTGATTTTTCTATGGTTTTATTTTTTATTTCTTGATTAATTTAAACATAATTGATGTTTTTCTCATGATTCTCAATTTTAAACTTTTTTTAACCCTTTAAATGTATATATTAAATATATTAATATTTTGTGATTATTTTCTGGCTGTCTTGAGTTGATTTTTTTGATCATGACTGTATTAACATCATTGGATCTTGGGTGTTGAGTTCAACTCCACCAAAATGGATGAATGATTTTAATAATAGTTTGATTAAATTTTTAATTCAAAAGTGGTTTATTCATCTTTTTACCCTAATCCCTCTTCATCTCATCCCCTTCTTCTTGCACTAAATGTTGTTGGAGCATGATCCCTATATAATGTATCAAAACAAATGGTGCATAGATTGCTATTGACCGGCCTCAAAATAGGTGCGACTTCTATATAAGTCCATTTACGATTGCTTAACATAGCGCTAAATTTTGTCCCGATTCAAATAAATGATCATTCGTGGCCCAAACTTATGATTGCAAGCCCAAGTATGTTAATTTGATTTCTTTGATCTAATAACCTTGAGATTCATTATGTGGAGGCTTTGGTTCTACCAATCCTCTAATGGATCTACAACACCTTTGGTCAACGCGGATCACTTAAACACCGTTGATCATTAAATGGTACTTATGAGAATTCCAAAATGGATGATATACTTGACAAAAAGCAAATGTAACTTATTGTGTGGGGACTTTAGTTCTACCAATCCTCTAATGAGTTCCAAATGAAAGTTTCAAGATGGTCATCCCACTAACCACTAATTATTAACTTGCTTTATTTTTTATGCTTTTTATTCTTTTATGCTTTATGCACTATTTACTTTTAACATTTACATTCAATGTCATTTTTATCTTTGCTCACTTGAGCATTTATTTTCTTGTCATTTTCACTTTTCTCACTTGAGTTTTTCTTTTTCCTTTTCCTAAGATACTTAATAACCAACTTAAACCCTAAAAAACTCTTAATGGCACTTGGAATATTTTGTTACTATCCTTGGCATGATGGAGCAGTGGACTTTTTCTTGGACTTAGGATTAGAAACCTTGGCCTATTTTAGATACCTTGTGATCCTATCTGATTATTTTGTCTGAAGCTCTTGAGGTTTACCTCAAGACATTGAGTTGCTTGTTTGTTTTTGTGTGCAGGTTTTTTGTGATTACACTCTTGGTTTTGTAATATGGAATTCACTCGTATACAGCCGTTACTCTGCCTAATTTTTTAGAAGACTTAATACACTTGAAGAGGTCTAATATCTTTGCTTGCTTGGTTTCAATCCAAAGAGTGAGAATTCTATCTTGGCTCATAATGCCCAGTTTTGGCTTCTTGTTGGTTAGATGGTCCTTATCCTTAACTTTTACCTTATGCTTTAGGATAGCCTCTTCTTCTCCTCCTATTTTCTTTAATTTCAAAATCTTCTCCCTCCTTTTGAAAACTCTTCTTATTTCTAAACTTGAACCACTTTCATAATAAACTTGGACCTAGGTCCATGCACTTTCAAAACATTTTCCTCAATAAACTTCAATCAATTTAATAAATACCTTGACATTTTTGTGAGAAGACTAAAAGTCAATTTATCTCATTTCAAACCATTTTGCCACTTTGGCTTTTATCTTTAAAAATTTTCTCAAAAGATTAGACTCTTGTCAATCCTTGTAGTGATGAAAACAACTATACTTCTATATTATGTAGTGAAGAGAGATATTTTCCACTTGAGTGTTGAGTGAGGCATTGTTGATTTTAAAATCCAAGCCATATCCTCCACTTTGAGATGATGCAAATTCTCATTTCTCATTATTGTGGGTAGTAAGTATGTTTTTTACACGGACAATGACGATGATGTCTTATCTCTTAAAATTAACCAACACACTTGTGTTTCAAACTTTTAAAAGAGGAACTACGTGTACCCTGATCCCCTATTGCACGAAAGGTGGTACGTAAACACTAAAGATTCGCAACCACAGCGGGTGCAAAAATCATAAAATAATATATTTCTTTTCTCACCTCCACCATCCATTTTATATATAACACATTTTTTATAGCCAAAATATACATATTTTACAAAGAGGCTCCTGCAGAGTACCGTAGATGTTTAGGGTACTAATACCTTCCCTTTGCATAACCAACCCCCTTACCTTGAATCTTTCCCCCTTTTTTGGGTTATTCGCTCTTTTCCCATTCCTTTGGAAACAATAAAGCGCGGTGGCGATTTTTGTTTTGATTTGTATAAAGTCTAGTCAATTCAATGGCTTAGTCTTGAAAATTTCTACCGCTACAGTATCTATACCTTTTAATTTGAAATATTGGTAACAAAACTATACAAACTCAGTTTTATTCATCCATCTATATTTGTTCATTAACAACAAATACCCAGAGACATAATTAGAAATTGTTTTTGGGGAGGAGACAAACTGATTAAGCTGTTAGATTGCGACAAAGAAGTCTTGTACCATTGCCTTCTGAAAAAGCGGAAATGGAGTGTGGAAAGGTACCTCTTAGGTGACTGGTATGAATACGTCAAGGACTCCAATCTGAAGGTTGGTGATATATTACACTTCGGCATCCGCTACCCACCAGTGGACGAGATATTTGTATCGGTGGACCGAAGAAATGCAACTGAGGGTTGGCGGTCGTGGTAGGATAATGTTAAGGTTTTTTATTTAAATAGAAAGGACATATATTTATGTCAAGACTTATGGTATTTTGTTTTCTTATGAGTGTCTTTAGAAACATTACAATGATTTTAAGTTGTCCCACCAATGTTATTAGGTGAACAACTTATTTTGTGTAACATGAAACTTATGAATGTTTTATATTACTGTCTTATTAGATAATTAAGTATATTTGTTTCATATACTTTTATTATTATCATTATGTGACAATTTGACTATACCGTCGTACAAGTGACAATTATAACTGTTGAACAATTGTGGAATACAATTGAAGTTATTCTTCCTTAATTCATGACCTCTTCTTCAAATTTATGTCTTTGTGACTGTGATGTTTTATAATTACCCATGTTTGCTGGATGTAACTGTTGATAGTGTAAGATTGAAATTTTGATAGCACCATGAGAATGTCTTGGTTGCATTTGGGAAAATAAATCTACAACAAGACCACAGTAATATCTTTACAGCAACATCTGCTTTCATTTTATTGCATTGTTGTACAACTGCGATAAAGTATAGTAATACAATGTAAATAGTTCTGAGATAATTCCAATTAAAGTAACATGTATTGTTGTGTTTTATCACTTTATGCTATATTTTGGTATCTAAAATATAATTCTAACTGAGGTAGCATGTATTATTGCAAACTTGCAGTTAACATATAAAACTTATGGCAGTTAAAAATTATATGTGTTTGCACGTTAAACTGTAATGAAATAGTATCAGTGATATAAATCAGAATTATATGTTTTTGTTACTATTTCAATTTAACATCATTTCTTTAATTCAAACTATTCCATTTTATTGATTTATACTCATTGCACAAACTAATAATACAAAATATAATTTTTACAAAAATATAATTCATACATAATATCATAGCATTTGATTATTTTTCTTTCTAAATGAAATCCGCTTAGCTCAAAGAGAGTGTTAGAACGGTACTCGTACAAACGCACGAGTATCATACTAGTTTATTTATAAAAAAACATATAAAATTATACAATTATGTATTATATAATATATAAAATATAAAATATAAATAATATGGTCGGGATCGACGAATCTGCGGAACAGAGGATACTTTCCCGGTCCTCGCCTCAAAGTGTCATCGAAAGAATTTTTCTTATCATCCCCGTCTGTGGGAAAAAATATTCTCAACTTCAAAGTTCCAAATAGATAATAATCACGGATATTCGCATTAACAGATACAAATTGACATCCCTAAATGTAATTATAAACATCATCATTATATTATCCTTACCATTAATGGTGAATATTTTGAATATTTATTAGCATATTAATCTCTAAAATATATGGTACTCAAACTAGCAATTAGTTTGTATTTTTAGCATATTACTGCATATGATTAGTCTTTAAGCTATTGAACAAATGGGCCATAATTTAAATAAAAGAACAAAAAGTTTCTCATTCCATCTCCTATATATTCAAAATATATTAAAATATATTATGGGAAGACTTTTCTGATAATATAATTTTTCTTCCAATAAACCTCTTGCATTTTAAGTGGTGAATTAAGCATATCATAATTTTAAAACATAAGCAAAGAAACTCTACCAAAATTAACAAGTGCCAAAATTTAAGGAGACAGAGATTTAGAAACTAGTTTTAGCTCCACAAAACATGTTCATAGAAAAACCTTGTCCATACATACCTAACAAAACCCTTAACCAATACAAAGTTTCTCTAAACAAACAAAAAACAAATTCATGTAAAATTTCAAAGGATTAATCAATGTTAATCAACCATCACATTCATAACATTTACCATGAAATCTAATCATTATATTCCCACCAGATATGAAGCATTACATGATCGTCGAAGACACCATTCCATCGGTAGATCAAGTTGTGGATTCCTTAGATGTTGTTGTTTCTGCTTAAGTTGTTGTCGTTGCTGTATTTGCTGCATCTGTCTAATACTTTTCATCATAGTAGCAATTATTATAGCCTTTTATTATTTTGTTCAACCACACATGCCTACCTACAATGTTGAAAATCTTGATGTAAAATCTTTTGATCTACAAATAAACAATAACCTACACACCAACATTAATGTTGTCATGAAAGCAGTGAATCCAAATGCAGACATTGGTTTGGATTATTTAGAAAATGAAGTTAGTATAACATATTCAGGGACCGTAATTTCGGTGGGGCAATTTCAACCTTTCTTGCAAAAAGGGAAGGAAACAACAATTTTTAATATGACATTGAAGGGAGATAGTGATTTTGATCCTATAATGCAAAATAAACTATTGCTAGATCAAAATTTAGGACATATTCCTTTGTTAATTATGGTGAAGGTTCCTGTTAGGATTCTGATTGATGACTTACTTCATCTTAGGAAATTTGTTGTTCATGTAAATTGTTCATTGGTTATTGATCAGTTGAAACAGAACAAAAAGCCTAACATTTTGAAGAAAGACTTCACTTATGATATACATATGTGAAGAGATGTTTCTCTTTTATAAATTTGTATATATTTTATTTCTCAAGAACTCTATTTAATAGTTTTAGCTTTATGATATTGACTTATGAGTAGTGTTATTTAACCGCTCAAATATTGATAATTAAAAAGTGTCCAAATAATTTATTTATATCAATCTCTTAAGTCATATACTAGTATTAATGATTTGATAGAACCATTATACAACTGATTTTTTTTTATAAAATTAAAGAAAAAGAATTAGAGAAAAAAACTATCATCTTAAAGAGAATATTTTCTGACGTGTCTGTTAGCCGTAAAGATATTACTTAATTTGGAAAGAAATGGAGATTTATATTAAGAGATTGTTGTTTGATGATGCACCAAATTTAACTGTGTGACGTCTTTAATACCTTATATCAATACATATTTATGATACTTCTTCTAAAATAATCTCATTAAGACTATATGTGAGATGGGTGTGTGTAGTATACTATGTTGTTAAAACTCATTTTTGGTTAGCAAGGGGCCATTGCCTAAGAGAATGACACAAAGTTCCGCCTAAAAGATATTTAAGAAGTTTGCAATGAATCCAAAGAATTACTGATCTACCATAAATAGTGCATGAGTAGTTGATGTTTAGGAAAAGAATTACATATCCACCTTAAATACCTCAAATTAGGGTGTTTCCATATATTCATTAAAATAGTTTCAAATTAATTATTCTAATTATAATCAAGATGTAGTTAATATATTATGTGGTTTAAAGCGACATTAATATAAAAGAGTTTATATTAGAAAATTTTAATTTAATTTTATAAAAATATTAATTATATGAGATATTACTGAAATGCTAATAAAGGGAACTTGAATACAAAGAAAGAAATCATAACATCATAATGACGGTAGAGAAATAGTGGTGGTAGAAATTTTGGTGAGAGCAAATTTTGGTGAGTTATGATTTTCACTTTCTATATTTGGAGTTTGGGTCTAATTGTATGTTTTGTTGAGTATAAACAAAGGTGGAGAATAGTTAGACCGATACAAGACATAATGATGAGTGAAGTTAATTAGTTTATTCTAATCCGCTTACATTCTATTGGCGACTAGGATTTAGGGTTTAAGGTTTAGAAGAGTGGAATGTCATAGACCAAAGAGCTGGTAATAAGGATATTTCGGACCATTGTCCCATCTGACTCATTTTGGGGAAGATTGATTGGGGGCCAAAACCGTTTAGATTCAACAACGCTTGGTTTAAACATGAGGACTTTAAAACTTATTTTTTTGAGGAGTGGGCTAAGATTATCATGGAGGGGGGAGGTGATTATCACTACAAGAATGAGATTAAGGATGCCGTTAAGTCATATTTCGAGGATTTTTCAAGGAAAGCACCACTTCTAGACCGGTCCTAGAAGGGTTGTCTTTTAAATCCTTAAGTGAGCATGACCATTTGTGGCTTGAAAGATCGTTTTTTGAAGAGGAGGTTAAAGAGGCGGTATGGTCTTATGACGAGAATAAAAGTGATGGTCCTGGCGATTTTCTCTAGAACTTTTCAAACAAAATTGAAATATCCTTAAGATTAATGTCCAAAGGTTTGTGGCAGATTTTCACTACAGTGAAAACTTACGGAAGCATGTACTTCTTCTTTTATTACTTTTATTCTGAAGATCAAAAATCCGTAATTCTTGCATGAGTATCGGCCTATTTGTCTTGTGAGGGGCTTGCATAAAATTTTATCAAAGTTAATGGCGGCTAGATTAAAGAGTGTTTTGGGAAGCATTGTTTCGGTTAACCAATCAACTTTTGTCTCCGGTAGAAACATAGTGGATGGAGTGTTAATTGTCAATGAGGCGTTGGATTTTGGCTAGAAGAGAGAAGATGAGCTGCGTGGTTTTGAAAATTGATTTCGAAAAAGCATATAATTGTGTGAGCTGGAACTTCTTGAGATTCTTGCTTCCTAAGACGGGATCTAGTGAAAGGTGGATCAGATGGATGGAAGGTTGTGTTTTCACAAGTTCTATGTCCGTCATTGTTAATAGTAATATAACGAAATACTTCATTGTGAAGAGGGATCTCCGTCAAGGGGATCCGTTATCTCCTTTTTTGTTTGTGTTGGTTATGGAGACTTTAACCGGACTAATGAACAAGGCGGTGGAGTTAGGCGACTTTAGAGGGTTCAAGTATAGTGAAGAAGATGAAGTTAATATATTGAAATTCATAGACGATACGCTCATCTTGGCGGATGGTAGTTGTGAGAATTTATGGTGTATGAAGGCTATGCTTAGGGATTTCGAAATGATGTCCGATTTAAAGATTAATTTTCGCAAAAGTAAGATATATGGCATTAATGTGATTTCTAGCTATATATATATGGTTGGGTCGGTTTTGGGGCCGAGCCCAATGCTTCATCAACAACGGAAGATTCAGTTGTACCACATCTGATTGTGCATCCGGTCAAGTGGTGTGCAACGGAGCCGGTGCAATTCCACCAGCAACTTTGGTAGAATTGACAGTAGCATCAAATGGGGGACAAGATTTCTACGACGTGAGCAATGTTGATGGGTTCGGGTTCAACGTGCCTGTGTCTATAACACCACAAGGTGGGAGTGGTGACTGCAAAACCTCCAGTTGTCCAGGGAACATCAATGCTGTGTGCCCTTCAGAGCCTCAAGTGAGAGGCTCTGGTGGAAGTGTGATTGCTTGTTTAGCTTTTAATCCGGATCAATATTGTTGTTGTGGAGCTTACAATACCCCAGAAAAATTTCCACCCACAAACTATTCTACTATTTTCAAGAAGCAGTGTCCAAGTGCATATAGCTATGTGTATGATGATAAGAGCAACCCCTTCACTTGCTCTTCAAGACCCGACTATGTGTTACAATAAACAAACTTGTGGTATAATATAAACATCAAATATAAATGTCTTATATTATTGTATTGTATTGTATTGGTAAATATATTATTTGGATCCTTCTCTAAGTGTTATGTGTTACAAGATTGTATAATTTTATCGTTTTTATATGAAGGTTGTAGTAAGTACGTTATTGCAAAAAAAAATTATAATTTGGGTCCTTGAGAATGTGATTTCTATTAGACCTTGAAAGGGGAATAACATCTAGCATCTCTTCATCAAAAAACTTGTAACTAAAATTATCATCAACATCTAGCATCTCTTCATCTAGCACAATGTTAACAACATATTTTCTACCACAAAAGTTTGTAACTAAAATTTAATAAACTCGAGGTAACACGAGTATTATCATCACGATTCATAATATTATTCTTTTGAAACAAAATATCAGGGGGAATAGGTCATTTTGCGCTATAACACACAACATTCTTAACAATTTATTAAAAGATATACTCTCTAAAATAAAAGGCAGTAAGAGGGAGCCCAATTAGAGACTCCATCTTGTATAAGATAACATACTTTACAGTGAGGTTAGAAACCACCAAATGATCATTCGAAGCCGAGTGTTAATGAACATTATCAGAGATTTCACGTGTAATGATCTTTAGAGGGAAGACGATCAACAATTATTACTCTTTCACATCCAAAATACTCATTTATGATTGTAGGTGAAAATGAAATACAATGATATTCTCAAAAATCATTACTCTCACATTCAAAATACTCATTTATGATTGTAGGTGAAAATGAAATACAATGATATTCTCAACTTTCAAAATTATTGAACCCACTTGGAAGATTTACCACAAATTCCTTCACAGGATAATAGAGGCCAACATCAATCACAATCTTTAACAACTGAGTATCATTAAGGAGCTTTATAATTTCACAACATTTTTGTGCATCAACAGAGATTTCCCATTCAGATTCCAATCTCCTATGATAGAAAGTTTGTTATGGCAGTTGTTAGTTGTTGTAACTACTGTCATTCTTCAATGGCAAATCACGATGATCCTAATATCTCGACTCATCTGATCATCCTGGGCTTGTTCTTGTTTCACAACCATTAACCGGTGACAATTTCAATTCTTGGCGTCGCACCATGTTAACGACTCTTGATGGAAAAAACAAGATTGGTTTCGTAGATGGCACACTCCTAAAAACAGAAGATCACTTTCCTAGATATCGTTCATGGATGTGCAACAACAACAACATCATTTCTTCTTGGTTGTTTAATTCAATTTTCAAAGGCATCTATGCTACAAATGCTGCAGAGATTTGGAAGGAGCTTCAAGATCAATTTTAACAGAAAAATAAGAAGAATCTTCTCAGTATCACACAAGGATCATTCAATTCCAGTTCTTACTACACACAATTCACGTCTCTATGGGAGGAATGGGGGAATATCAACATGTTAACACGTGCAATTATAGTGGAGTACAACCTATTTTGGATCATTTTCAAAATGAGCACAATTTCACATTCTTAGTGGGACTCAACGAGTCTTTCAATGGCCAAATTCTCCTCATGGATCGTCGAACTTCTATCAAATTGTTATTTTTAAGCAATAGTAATTAATATATTTTTTTTGAAAATTATATATCAACAAAATATCTATTTTAATCCCTTAACTGTATCTTTGGGTTCAGATTGGTCCCTTAATTTTTTTTCGTGTCACTTTGGTCTTGCGACGAATTTAGCGACCGATTTCAAAGTTTTTCGTCGCTAATTAGACAAAAAAGATTAAAATGAAATATTTTAAAAGTTAATGGATCAAAGTGACACGAAAGAAGTTAATGGAACAAAATAGATATTTTACCTTACATGTTTTATCGTATATCAACATAAAATAGCCTCACTAATGTTCAATAGGACTAACCTGTATTAAAAAAAACCATTGTATAAAACGTCTATTCTAACCTTAATGGAACAAATAAAAGGATAGAATCTGAACAAGAGCTAAGAATCTTATGTTGATGGCAATAAAACTTAGAGAATTCTCAACATCAACCGGAGCATTTGGATGGAACTGAACTTCACCGTCTTCGGTCATCCCTAATAGTCACAGTGTGATGATATATCTATAACACATCAATGGCATTGTTTCATCTTTG